AAAATGATCGAGTGAATGATATATATTGTCGTCGTTGTCGATGGACACAAGAAGAGTGAAATCATTCATTCAATTTTTTGGGTTTCACATTCATGAAACAATCAATCAAAGTTGTTTGAATGAATGAATAAATTCCAAATGTGTCCAAAAATGTATAATATGATTTTTGGCTGGCTGGCTGGCTGGTAATATTGAGTGAATGAAAAAAAAGGCAAATTTAATGGTGTTAAGGTAATGTGTGTGTGTTATATGAATAGTGTGTGTGGTCAAAACATCTGTCCACCACCACCACCACCACAATGTCCACCAGAAATGAATGAACGACGATTTGTAATATGTGGTGTTTGATGTTTGCTTGTGTTTGGTGTGTCCAATTCCAATTCTCATTACCGATAGATCAAAATCAATCGATGTACCACTGTAGTAGTATTTTTTTTGCTGATGATCATCAATGCTATGCTACCACCACCACCATACAACACATATGTCAAATAATAGATCAATCAGTCATTCTGGACTGTTTTTTTGGAAAATGTATCCAGCTTGATTTTCTGATTTGTACAAAAACTTGCTAATATTTTTTTTCCTCCCATTTTTTCTTCACAATCGAAGAATACAGACACACAGTTGACAAACAATTAATCCTTTGAGTTTTTTCTTTCTTTTTTCTGCTTATTTCGTGGTCAACATTCTTTAAGTTTCGAAAAATTGTGTCCGAAAAATGTCATTTGCTGCTGATGATGAATGGTAGATTGAATGATTGATCGTTCAATCCGTTTTTTTCGTTCGTTTGTTTGTTTGTTTGCTTGATTTTTTCGTATTTTTTTCATCATCATGATCATTGAATGAATGAACGAACGAAAAACGAATAATCGATTTCGAAGAAGAAAAATAAAATTTTTGACGACAAAAAAAGAATTTTCCACAGTTTTTTTCGGTTGTTATTGATGGATTGACCTGAGCAAAACCTTTGAAATTTCGAAATTTTTGAAAATTTTTCAATGAAAATAAAGCCCCTTTAGCTAGCCATCAATTTTAATGAATTTTCCATATTTTTTCATAAGCAAATTTTTGATAAAATTTTCTAATTTTTCAAATCATTTTATCAACAGAAATGAAAAGAGGTGTGTGTGTGTATATATCATAGTCAAAGTAGGCTGAAACTAAAATATTTAAGAAAAAGTTTTTTTTTCATATCAAAGAAACGACTATATTTCTATATCTTTTTTTTCCTTGTTTTGGATAAAAGAAGCAAAATATTTTTTTGTTGTTATAGGTTGCTACAACATTGCTACATAGTCATGATTTTCATTTTCATTTTGGTGGTTGACTATATCTGTCAATCAAAAAAAAAACGAAAAGAAAAAAAACAGCAACAACAGCAGAACTAAGAAAGAAAACTCTATGTAGGCAAATATGGAAAAGAGCAATGCCTACAAATCAAATCATAACAAACAANTTTTTTTTGGAAAATGTATCCAGCTTGATTTTCTGATTTGTACAAAAACTTGCTAATATTTTTCCTCCCATTTTTTCACAATCGAAGAATACAGACACAGTTGACAAACAATTAATCCTTTGAGTTTTTTCTTTCTTTTTCTGTTTATTTCGTGGTCAACATTCTTTAAGTTTCGAAAAATTGTGTCCGAAAATGTCATTTGCTGATGATGATGAATGGTAGATTGAATGATTGATCGTTCAATCCGTTTTTTCTTTCGTTTGTTTGTTTGTTTGCTTGATTTTTCGTATTTTTTTCATCATCATGATCATTGAATGAATGAACGAAAAACGAATAATGATTTTAAATCGATTTCGAAGAAGAAAAATACAATTTTTGACGACAAAAAAGAATTTTCCATAGTTTTTTTCGGTTGTTATTGATGGATTGACCTGAGCAATATTTAAACCAAAAAAACCTTTGAAATTTTGAAAATTTTTCAATGAAAAAAGTCCCTTTAGCTGGCCATCAATTTTGATAAAATTTTTTAATTTTTATCAACAGAAAAGAGGTGTGTGTGTGTATGTATCATAGTCAAAGTAGGCTGAAACTAAAATATTTAAGAAAAAGTTTTTTTTCATATCAAAGAAACGACTACATTTCTATATCTTTTTCCTTGTTTTGGATAAAAAAGAAACAAAATATTTTTTTGTTATAGGTTGCTACAACATTGCTACATAGTCATGATTTTCATTTTCATTTTGTGGTTGACTATATCTGTCAATCAAAAAAAAAAAGAAAAGAAAAAAACAGCAACAACAGCAGAACTAAGAAAACTCTATGTAGGCAAATATGGAAAAGAGCAATGCCTACAAATCAAATCATAACAAACAACAATAAGAAGAAAAAATGGAAATAATCATGGTCGTGGTCAACAATGTTTTTTTTAAAAAAAATCAAATCATGTCGAAAATTTATAGAATGAAAGTATCACAAAAGAAGAACCAGAAAAAATTAAAGGAAATTATCATCTTGGTCGTCATTACATAATTAGGTAATGAATCGAATTATATTTGGTGGTTGTTGGCCTCTTTTAACGATTATCATCAAAACGATAATCGGTAATTTGTAAACATCATGCGTGTGATACAATTGAATAATTCAAGACAATGATCACTGCATGCAATGAATTTTGGTTTGATTTGGGCGCCAAATAAACAACCAAAATGTTAACGGCATACAAGAATTAAAAGAATACTGCTACAATAATTTTACCACTACCTTTTATGGTCAGCATTGGGAAAAAAAAGCGCCAATTTTAAATTCAAATAATCCATGCGTATACGCATACGAGAATCATGTTGATGATGATTTTGATGATGATGATCATCATCGATAATGATGTTTTTGTATTCACGTTTTCCCCCTTCCTTTATTTTTATTTTTTTGTTCTGTCAATTCTCATCAGACAAATGACGATTCAGCTTAAAAAAAAAATCTTGAAAGAACAAAAGTTTCGCTCTCTCTCTCTCTCTCTCTCTTCCATGATGCATCCATTCCAATATATTCAGTGCATGCAAGGATTCGAATTGAGCGCGCGCACATTATATCATTTGAAAAAAAAAGATTCGTCTGTGAAATGAATTTATGCGCATGTTCATTGCCATCATCATCATCATCAACATCAACAACAACAACAACAACAACATCAATCAATCACAGCCATCAATCACTTGTCTTTTTTCATGCCAAAAAAAGAGAGAGAGAGAGAGAGAGATGGAATCGACAAAAAAAAAGATAGACATGCAAGACAGGACAGGACAACCAAAAAAATAAAGAGTGACGAGCGGACGTCATTCGCACACACACACATATAACAGCTATGGTTGGCATTTTCCATAAAAAAAAAAAAAAAATTATATTTCTTTTGTTGAGAATATAATCGACTCGAGCATCAATATGCTCCACCTACCTTCATCATCAAAATGTTCCTTTTTTTTCTCTCTCATCTCTTTTCACACACCGATGATGACTGGCATGCTGTTTTTTTTTTTATTGAATGAATGGATAATATTTGCGTTGCGCACCTTGAATGAATGGACTGCATGGAACACCATTCAAAATCTAGATCTTTTTTTTTTGGACACTACACACACTCATCAACAGGCTTGTTCCATGAATAGTATCCAACGAAAAAAAAAAAAATATTGCTAGTAGCATATAACAGATAACTAGTGGTAAATATAGTAGTAGTCAAGAATTAGAAAAAGATCCTGAATCCAAAAAAGAGTAGCGGTATTCGATGAATGAAAATACAGTAAAATCTCTTCTACAGAAGACATTCTTAATCAATTGTAAACAATGGATATTTATTGGAAAGATATACACTGTAGAATCACACTGTAGAATCGGATCTTTATTTTTTTTTGAATAGTAGTAGTAGTGGTGAAAAAGAAAGATATCAATTGACAAGAGTCCATCAACAAACGACAATAATCATAATAACAACAACAATAACAATTTGACACGCGCATTCACCATTCATTCGGCGATCGCCTAAATATATTGTTTTGAAAAAAAAGAAAAGATGAATATATGAAACGATCCGTCGGTTTTATCTTGTTGTTGTTGTTGTTGTCGCTATTTGGCAGATCATCTCATTCATACCACACATACCATACACACACACACATAACACAGATCATTCAATTTTTTTTTTGTTTGATTCAAGTCAAATCAAGTCAAGTTTCATTCAAGTCAATTCAAGTCAGTCAGTCATCAGTTGTCGAGGTGTACGGTAGTAGTATATATACGGACAACATACATACATTACATATTATATGTGTGTGTATAATATTTCTCTTTCTTTTTTTGATTTCCGATCCAAAAAAATTTTGTTTCTAATTTTGTTTCTAATTTTGTTTTCCTGGTTTTTTTTTCACATGTGTGTAGTGTATATTTGTGTGTGTGTATTTAGTATTATTCAACCAACCAACCTGATGACAGTTTATCAGGTTTTTCGCAACAACACATGTGTTTTTTTTTGAATGAATTTTTTTTGAAAAATTCTCAATTCTTGTGTGGTTTTTTTAATAATGTGATTTCTCTCAACAACAACAACAGAATCATATCATGTCATCACATTTTTCTCTTGAAAAAATGATTCCGGTGTTTCATTTTTATCGTTGAAAAGAAGAAGAATATTCTTTCCCCGAAAAAATTTTTCGGTTCAAATAAAATGACAGTATTGTTAATGAGCTCAACAACAAAAAAACAGACGACCACTAATGATCATCAATTACCAGCAACAATAATAACCGCATCATCATCAACAACATTACCAATAATCAATATGACCTCATTGTCAACGACAACACAACCACCATCATCATCCACCGATAATTCTTCAACAACAACAACTCAATCACCATCATTTAATAACCAAGAAGAAAATGATGATAATGGTAACAACAAGAATCTAAATGATGATAATAATGGTGATAAAGTTGATTTATCATCAAAATCGACTAAAGAATTATCATCATCGAAAATGACATCAACATTAATTACCACCAATAATCATCAACGCAGTCATCATACAAATAATGATGATGAAACTGAAGAAGAAGAAGAAGAAGATGTTGATGAACAAAATGATGTCAAGAATAGAACTGATGCAATGAAAGTTGATGATAGTGATGATGATGGTGATGATAAAATTCTTGATGATAAAAATGTTGTTGATGATTCTTTAGTCGAAAATAACAACAAAAATATCGACAACAATCTTGTGATTGATAATGAAAATTGTAGTGATACAATTCAAGCATCATCAACGAATAAAGTGCAACAGCCAACAACAACAACAACAACAACAACTTCACATGGAAAACGAGATTCAAATAATTCCGATAATGATTGTGATCAACAACAACAACAACAACAAAATCGTCATCAAAAATCATCAATAAAATCTGATGATGAATCGATTACAACTAAATCGATAAAACAAAATAAAAAATTATCCAGTGATAATAATAAACGAGTCAAATTAGATCAAATCGTTAATAATCGTTCATCATCATCATCATTAAATCAACAACAACAACAAACAATATCATCATTTGAATTACCGGTGAATAATGTTAATGATAATAATATTGTTGTTGATGTAGCCGAATTGGCTCGTTTAAAAGCTGCCAAATTTATACAGGAACGTACAAAAATGGCTTGTATGTTACCACCGTCATCATCCGCATCATCTCCTGATGGACGTTCATCATCAACAAATCTTTTATTTTCTTCTTCTTCATCGTCATCAATTCATTCCAATTCCACTTCTTCTTCTTCTGGTCAACAATCATCATCATCATCATCATCAAGAAAACGTAAATTAACCGTCAAAGATATATTGGTCTCACAAAGAAATCGTAATCAAGATCAAATAAATCTTGTTCATAATAAACATCATCGTATACATAGTAATATTGTTGATAATAATAATCCGAATCTTCAATCACAAACGCAACCATTTGGTGCGGCTGCTGGTCTTCATGGTTTGACCAGTCAAATGTTTGGACCATTAGCCGGAATACTTGATCCAGCAACAGCAAGTATGTTACCACCATCATCATCATCATCATCATTGAATGATCCAAATTCAAATCCATTTGCAACTATTTCAGCAGCATTAGCTGCTGCAACAAATTCTGGTAATAATACCGGTATAATAACTGATCAACAACAACAACAATCAGCACATGCTTACATATCACAACTTGCCTCAACACTTTCATCAACAAATTTACAAACAACAAATCCAACTGCTGCATTTGCTTTGATGGCATCAATTAGTGCAATGATGCAACAACAACAACAACAACAACAACAGAATCATCAACAGAATTCATCAAATAAAGAATTAGATCATCATCAACAATCGACATTATCAAATTCTTCAGCTAATAATAATAATCCATTAAGTCAATTAACAAATTCATTGGTTAGTCTTGAATCAACATTATCATCATCAGCCAATAATAATAATAATGAACAACAAAATTCTAATCAAAATGATATTGGTCACAGTGAAAATGTTGATGATAAACTAAACGATGGACCAATGGATTTTAGTTTTAAAAATTCAAAAAGTCCTGAATTGACAAAAAATTCCAATTCAAAACGTAAATCGAAAAAGAATTTTTTAAATACTATTGATAATAGCAATAAATCATCAAATGAAGATGTAGAATTTCCACTTGATCTTTCGATTCCTCATAAACCTAAATTATCATTATCATCAACTGATCATGAAATATTTATAGAAAATATGGCTAAATTATCAAAAAATAATCCATTATCATCATTAGTATCACAAGTATCCGGTTTGATTGATAGTCATGGATCATTATCATCATCATCATCATCTGGTCATGGTCATAGTTCAAATGTTAGTGGAACAAATCAAGATCAAACGAATTTTGCAGCAATGGCAGCTGCTGCTGCTGCAGCAGCGGCAGCCGCAGCATCATTTTCACCAAATATTCTGACAAGAATGGCCGCATCAATGGCAGCAGCTGGTGCAAATAATCCATGGTCACAATATGGATCATTACAACAAGGTCTAAATCCGGGTAAATTGGCACAAAATGATGCAGTAAATTTGCAAGCATTTGAAGCATTAATTCAACAAGTCGCAGGCAATCAACAAACTCAACAACCCCCACCGCCACCACCACCGATCAATTCACCGAGTCCTTCATTGATGAATAATAAATCTTCTAATCAACAACAACAGAATCAATTATTGAATGCAAACATATTGTTTCAACAATCATTTCCTGATCTCTATTCATGGAACAACGGAAAAGTTTCAAAATCATCGACACCATCGCCATCTTTTGGTCCATTAACGAGTCCAACTTATACATCATCACGGCATCATCTTCATCCACCACCACCGGCTGCATCACAACCAATGCGAACAAAATCCAGTAGTGGTCGACAGAATCCATGGCAAGCACAATGGATTAATCGATCTAGTGAACAAACAAGAGATGTATTTACCTGTGTTTGGTGTAAAGAATCATTTAAATCATTAGCCGAAATGACTGATCATATGAAACGTTCACCACGTTGTGGTATGGCAGGTATGCAACAACATCATGGTGCTAATAGTGGTGGAAGTAGTGTATCTAGTACCGGATCAAATTCTAATAGCGGTCATCATCAACCATCGACAGCAACGACAACAACATCATCTTCATCATCACAACATCAGCAACAACAATCTTCCAATTCTGGTCATCACAATAATCATCATCATCATCATCATCAACAGCAGCAACCAATTCCTAGTAATGTTTTGCCATCTGGTGGTAATAAATCAGGAATTTCATCCATATCAACATCATTATCACCATCATCATCATCATCATCAATGAATTCACCATCAATATCCGGTAATCATAAAGATGTTAATAATACAAATAATGTATTTACATCAAATACTAATACATCAACTACAAACAATAACAACAACACGACGACTACGAATAAATCTTCGACAACAACAACAACAACAACTGCTGCGGCTGCAGCCGCAATTGCAGCTGCCGTATCCGCCGCATCATCTTCTGCGATGACTACCACGTCATCATCATCAACAACAACAACAACGTCGTCATCATCATCATCAGGTGCTGTAAATATGCCAAGAAAATTAGTTCGTGGTCAAGATGTTTGGCTTGGTAGAGGTGCTGAACAAACTAGACAAATTTTAAAATGTAAGTTTATGAATGTAATTATTATTTTGGAATGTTTCTTTTTACAAATGATGATTATCATTGATGATTTAGCTAGTTGGTTATAATCATAAATAAATATATATATGATTATCAGCCACCGCCTCAATCATGTCAATGACTATTAACAAGAATCAAAAACCAAAGGAAAAAGTTATAAATTATGTCATTCAACTAACATTTCATTATTTCAAAGTCAATTTATCCTTTGAAATATTACTATTCTTATTATGTTTTTGTGTGTGTATTTATGGGTGATGGCCGTTCGATTTATTTTTTCATATTCATCTTGTGATTTACATAAATTACATTATATTGTGTGTGTGAAGTGTAATGAAAGAAAAAGAACACAAGTCCAGAAAACAGAACCTTTTTTCACGTATATAATGTAATGGTGATATTATATAACCAAATATGAATGAATATTAAAAAAAACTAGAAAACTAGAAAAATTCAGATGGATAGATGATGTGTGTGTTTGTAGTCAAGGACCAAACACATATATCAAGTCACACAGTATGTCTAAAAAGAATTTTCTTTCTTCGTGAATCAGAAAGAACGAAGAAAAAATATAATAAGTAAATTTATGATTATAGCCTCCGTGTTAAAACTTTTTTTTCTTCTTTTTTTTGATGATGATGATGATGGCGACGAAGAATGTGTCATGATGATGATGATGATGATGATGATGATAATGGTGAATAGTTTTCGGGTCTGGTCGATGAATAACATGTATGAATGAATGAAACATACACACAATCACACCGACCGACCAACCATTCAATCGACTAAACCGACATGATCATAACCATAAATCATGATCCACATCATCCATACCATACACATCTATCTATACCATCTCATCTATCAGTCGTTTGTTTGAAAGTCGGGACGGTTTTTTTTTTCGTTTCTCGAAATATTAGTTGTTGTTCGTTGTAGTTTTTGATGATTATTATGATGATGGTGAAACATACATACATACATACACATATCAAACAAGGCCTGGCCATAACCATAGCTAATAAAGTAAGCTAAAAAATCTATTCATCAATTTAAATGTGAATAGTGTGTGTGTGTGTACCCATCATACATTTGATCATTCATTTCAATCAAAAAATGTGTGTGTGTCCAGCCAGCTGCTGTTATTTGGAATTTTGGTTGTATATTTATGTATGTGTGTTGTTTCATGATGGATCCATCCATCTTAGATATACATAGAGCAAAAGCGAGAGAGAGTCCTAATCATCATAATGATGATTATAATCATCGTTTGGCAATTTATTCACAATGATGACCATAGGATTTTGTTGATGGTTTTTCGTTACATGTCTTCATAAATCAGTTTTTCCCCCTTCATAAGTTTAACACATCAGAACAAAACAAGATTTTTCTTTTTTTTTGGTTTTCAAATGAGCAATATCTCTTCCTCCCCTCCCTTCTAGTGTGTTAAATATCATCATAAATATATCAAACTAAGGTTAAGGAAAAAAAGCTATAATAATTTTCGTTTTTCAATTCTTCAAATCCATTGATATGGTCAGATTTTTTTGACCAAACACTATCCTCCTCTATATTTGAATCTTTTTTCTGTTCACTATAAACATTGTTTAATATGGCAATTTATGTTTAGCAAGAAAAAACGAAAAAAAACGGCCTGTTGTGTTTCGATTGACAGCTGTCAACATCATCAAGAATGAATGTGAAAAATTGTGAAAACTTTGTGTGAAGTTAGTGCCCTTTATGAATTTTCATATTTATTTCAATCATCATTTAAAGATATAGTGCTATGTAGAAAACAGGAGAAGCGATAAACTTACTCATTTGCTTTCTTCCCTCCCTTCCTTTTTTATCTTATCTTTAAATATTCATATTCAATAAATAAACTTGAGATTTTTCGCTGATAGATAGTAGTAAAGATCAGATCATAGATCATAGATTGATGCATTATAATTTAGAGAAATTAATTTCTTCACCTTGCTTTGATTTTTTGTTTTAAACAAAAAATGAAAATTCAAAAGTTTTTATTTAAATTAGGATTGGTCTCTCTTTGATTCATTTACTCTCATCAAATATCTTTCAAAAGATCTTTATCAGATGAAAAAAACAAAACAAAACAATACATTCATCATTTAGCATTTAGGATTCATTTCGATTCATTACATTTTGGTTCTGACAATCATAATCATTATATAACATTTAACATTATAATAATCTTTAATAACCAATGATCAATGGAATATCGATTTGTATGATTGGTTGGTGAATATAAATGATAAATAATAATCAGAATAAATGAACAGAACAAAAAAACACAATAATTTTCTTTTTTTTTTGTTCGTCTTTCTCTCTCATTCTACCTTAAAATTCATTAATTATCATGAATTTATATGTTGGTGTGTATCAAACATAATCATCATAAATCATGTTATCATATGTATAATATATTGTCTATATGTGTATATGTGATTACCTATGATCTTTGAAAGAATATTACATCACACATACATAGATAGATGGATAGTCATTATGTTTTTTATGTCTGAGTTTTTTTTCTTCTTCACCTGAATTAATTAACAATAAATGTTGTTGCATTTTTTAGTTTAGTTTATCCATATAATCATTGTTGTTTTGTTTTGTTTTTTTAAAAATGATTGATCTGATCGATCATTTTTATTGATAGACAATCAGGTTTTCTGCGTTTTTCCGTTTTTCTGTTTATTCATTAGCCTAAATTTCTATTTCAAAATTGATTGATCCATATTTTTTTCACTTTGTTTAAATCGTTATAATCAATGATTTTGATGATTTTTGAATAATAACAATTTTTTTTTGTTTTCGTTTTCTTCTTTTTTTTTCATACAATTAACAGGTATGTGGTGTGGCCAATCATTTAAATCATTAGCCGATATGACTCAGCATATGAAAGTTACACAACATTATACAAATATCATATCACAAGAACAAATTATTTCCTGGCGAAATCCTGAAGAATCATCATCATCATCATCAAAATCTCAACAACAACAACAACAACAGCCACAACAACAACAACAACAATCACAACAACAACAAGTGTTAACATGTAAAGTTTGTGATGAATCATTTCAAACATTAAAAGAATTATCAAATCATATGGTTAAAAATTCACATTTTAAAGATCAAAATTCAGATTGTATGGCAATGTCACCACAAAGTAATACTAATAATGCTGCTTCTGCTAATACTACAACTTCTGGTAAATCATCATCAAATAACCGTAATCAATCCGGTAATCATGATCGACGAAAAAAATCATTACCCGTACGGAAATTATTAGAAATGGAACGTGTTAATGAAAAAAAATCCACCAATTATGATGATGATGATGATGATGATCAGGATGATAATGATGGTGAGGATGATGATAATGTTGATGCCGATAATGATGATAATAATAATGACGATGATGATGATAATCGATCAGGTATGGATAATTCAGAAAAATCAATTGGACAATTGATTGAATGTGATGATTGTCATGAAAAGATTGAAGCTCGCTATTTTTTACAACATATCAAACAATGTCGATCAAAATCATCGATAAGTGCTTCCAATAATAATAATAATAATAGGAAAAATATTTGTGATCATTCGATGAAAAATGGTGGCGGTGGTTGTGGCAGTCAAAAAAGTGATTCAGAAAGTGAATCATCCGATCGTCATTCACATCTATCAACAACATCAAATAATCTAATTTCTTTTGATCCATTGATTGGAAGAAATTTAAAAAAATCAATTATTGATGATAATAATGGATCAGAAATGGATGATAATGATGATCATCATTTAGATAATGATGATTCTGAACGTAATACACCGGTTACAAATCAAAATGATGATAATACTGGTGGAAATGTATTGAGTGCATTAGAAAAATTGATTGAAAAAAACTTTGATACAAAATCAAGAAGATCTCAACAAACAGGTATACTTCAACGTCTTGGTATTGATGAAGAAGTATTTCCGCCATGGCAAAATATGGCACCTAGTCCTATTTCACCTGCATCAATGATGGCTGTTGCTGCTGCAGCATGGAATCCAACAAACGGTGGTCTTGTTGGTGATTATTCTCGTAGTAGTAGTAGTAATAGTAATCATAGTAGTAATCATCATCGTGGTTTTATGAATTCTGGTGGTGGTGGAAATTCATCAACCATGGTAATACCACAGTTAAGATATCGTCGTAATTCATCATCAAATCATTCATTTAAAGATAAATATATTAATGCAGCTGCATTATGTAAAACAATTACCACCGAAAGTAATGGATCATTTAGTTCACAAGAAACTGAAGAAGAATCATGTGATGATTCAAATTCTGAATATGGTACTAATAATAATCTAACTAAATCTAATAAACGAAAAAAAAATCATTGTTCACCATCACAACAAACTGGAAAATCACCAAATAGTGGTAATAATCGTAGTAATCTTAATTTTCCAATATCATCAATGTTAAGTTCACCTATACCACCAGTACGTCCACAATCAGCTTCATCAACAGCATCATCATCAATATCACCATCTGAAACACAATCAATTAATACATTAGTAAATCCAAATACAAGTGCTGATCTATTAAATCGTTTAACACCGAATAGTCATCGTAGTGAAACAGATGATGATCAAGATCAAAGTCCATTGAATTTATTTAAAAAAGCTAAATTAATTAATGGTACAACCACCACTACCAACAACAACGATAATGATACTGATGATGAAGATGGTGATGGTGATAATTTATCATCAAAAAATGGTGATACAACAAAAAGTGGTTCACATCATCCACTGATGCAATTGCAAAAATTATTAGATAAAACTGATAATAATGGTAGAAGGAAAAATTCATCTCATCATCATCATCACCAACATCATCAACAAAATAATCATCGATCATCACCATTTAATCATAATAATTGGAATGATTCGTCAAGTGTACGATCACCAGCTGGATCATCATCTGAACGATCTCCGCGATCAACACCAAATTTTATTGGATCACCATCATCAATAAAATCATCAACCGAACAAGATTTATCAACAACAACAACAACACCATCTAGTTATTTACAAATGAAATGTGCATTTTGTTCAACACCAATATCATCACGTAATGAATATAGATTACATTTAGCTAAAATACATTTATCAATGCGTGATTCATCAACAGATATTTCATCAATATCGGATGAAGAATTATTACTTTTAGTATTGGCTAAAAGTTCAAATCTACCATTGGTTACTGCTAATTTAACAGCGGGAAAAAATTCAATGAATACTTCATCACCATCATCATCAACTACGACAAAATCAACCAAAGAATCAAGACGAAAATCATCACGTACATCATCATCATCATCCACACATAATAATAACGCACATGATATGGATGCTGAAATGGCAAATGTTGCTGCTGCAGCAGTAGCTGCTGCAAAATCAACCACATCAACATCATCATCATCATCACCACCGATCGAAACATCACAATCAAAATTTTTAAAATATACAGAATTAGCTAAACAATTATCAAGTAAATATGTTAAGTAAACCACAAAAACCTAAAATTATCAATTTTTTTTAAATGAAATTCCATTCGAAAACATTCCAAACAAAATGCAAAATCATAATGTTCATTCATTCATTCATTTTTTTCCTTTTTTCTTTAGTAGTTTTTTTTAAATATCTATATAATTTTAACACACAAACACTGATTAAACACACAAACTCTCTAAATACACATATCAATTCCACTTGTTGTCTTTTTTTTTAAAAAAACGAAACGAAAATATTATTATTATATTTACACTAATAATCTATCTTATCAACAAACAAAAAAAAATTGGTGTATGTTATTTGACACAAATAATAAAACTATAACGTTTTTTCTTTCCGAAACGAACCGAACAGTATATATAAATAAAAATGTATTCATTCCATACACACAAAATACAATTACTTTGCTTACTTTGTTTTTCGCTTTTTTTATAGAGACAAACACCGATGAAAACAAAAAAGTTATCCATCATCATAGCTGTCATCCAATCCTAAAATTGTCAATTGTCAACATTTTCTTTCTTTCTTTCCTGGAACTTTCCCAATTGTATTGTATTGTGTGTGTGTCAAAAAAAATGTGCCATCCCCTTCACACACTATACACAGAATGTTTCTGGAAATTTTTTTTTCTGATTGGATAGATTTGATAAACACCCGAACACAAACGATAATGCACGCCCAATTCTTTAAAAAAATACATACATCAAATTTGAATTCTTTTACGGTAGACATATCAAAATAATATTTGGATAAAACACTTTCATTGATGTTTGTTCATGTTTTTTCTTTTCCTTTTTCTCTTGTCTTCACACATCAAATTTTCTTTCTTTCTTTCAATATCATTCTATTTTATAAGCAAAAAACAAACCAAAAAACGAATATTCTTCTCTCAATAATCAACAAAAAGATTGGCAGAAAAAAACACGATTTGATAAAATGCCATTGCTCATATCCACCACCAACACGACATACACACACCTACATCATTCAATTTTTTTTTTGTAATCAATCAAGAACAATTCACAGAAACAAACAAACAAAGATTTTAGAAACATCCTTTATCTGCTAGAATTCTAGAATCGTAAGAATTTTTTTTCTGTTTTTCCACCTGAAATATTCCCGAAATTGTTTTTGTTTTTTTTTCGTTTCTTTCATTAATTTCTTGTTTTTGTTTCTTTTCATTTCATTTTTTTTCTTTGTTGTCATTTTAAACCAGTGATGATTTTTTATTTTTTACCCTTTTTTGATTTCTTATTGATAATACCAAAAGAAAATTAAAAACAAATTTTGATTTTTTACTTTGTTTTGTTTCATTTTCATTTTCGCCATTTAAAATCTGTCATTTTTTTTTCATAGAAATTCTCACACACACCACATACACTTTTCAATAAAAATATCATTGATTATGGATCGATTATTGATCATCGATCGAATGTTCTCATTTTGGGCCAATATTTCTTTGTAAATTTTTTTTCCAATTATCATTATTATTTATTTGAATTTCTTCGCTCTCATCAATTGTTTATAATTATAAATTTTTTTCTTTGAAAAAATAAACTGAATAAAAAATGAAATTAAATGATTAAACCAAAGAAGCAAAAAATGTTTTCGTTTTTTTGATTGGTAATGATTATTGATATGATTGATCAGAGAGTGGCAACAACAAAAAAAAAAGAAAAATTGAAACAATTTCCATATTTGATATTTGAACAAAGTTATGATGGATAAATTTTTAATGTTTTTTTTTTCAAACGAAAGAAAAAAATCCTTCCAATTATTGCGTGATTTGAATCATTTCAAATAAATAAAGTGTTACATAAGTTTTGTTTATTTCAATTTTTCGATTCAAAATCAAAAATCCGATTTATTTTACTCGAATAATCGAATCAAATCATGAAAAAAAAACTGTAGACATCCCCAAAAAAATACTTTATTATCATATGTTTTAAGGTTGTTTTTTACGATCATTATCATGATGATCATTATGATCGTTTCATTGAATATTCCAAAACTAATATTTATGGTCCATCATTTTTCCAATGATTCCAGTGTTGTAGTTTAGCTGATGCCGTTTATCATCATTACACGAAAAGGTAAAAACAAAATTCCAGTTCAAATTGAAGAAAATTATTTATTTTTTTTCAGCCAAAAAAAAAACACAGAGAAAAACATGGAAAAACATAGATACAAATTGTAATTATTTTAATTGTTCATGACACGACAACGTTTATTTTATTTCATTTCATTTACCGAAAACGAAAAAGAAAAATGATTATTTGACTATAGGTAAAACCTCTGTCTCTTTCTCTTGCTTGCTGTCTTTCGCCCTATATATTTCTTTTGAAGATGATTTTTCTGTTGTTTTCATGATGATGATAATACACGCATGATACATTGATATAAGTCAATAAATCAAAAAAAAAAAACTGAAAAGCAAAGCCAAAGAATGTCAAGAACATTTTAAATCTTATTATTATCATTTTCTGACTGGGCGAATGAATGAATCAAACAGAAACGTTGATGATGATTATGATGATGATGATGACCCTTGGTTGAAGCTTTTTTTTCATGGTAATCATCTTTTTGTTTTTGTTGGAATTGACGAATTAAAATTCATTTCGTTCTAGTTGTTTGATGCTTCTTCTATGTTTTTCTTCAAAATAGGATGACCATAAATATATTGATTTTGCCTATGATAATCATTATCATCGTTTAATCTGCTTTCCACCAAAATTGTAACACTTCTATAATATGGCTATCAAATTGATGGTGGTAGTAGGATCAACAAAAACAACAAAAACGAAAATCCAATAATGAAACAAAAAAATTAAGCTAAATTCTCTCAGTTGTCAGTGTAGTTCACGAATCGTTGATGAATCTTTAGTGATTGATGAATTTCTGTCTATAGAGATTCTGTTTTTGACTTGTCTAATTTCGTTGTTTTTCTTCTACATGTTTATTTTACCGAAAAAAACCTGTCGATGGCCAGACAAAATGTTTTTTTTAACACCATAGCACGAACAGGAACCAAAGAAGAACACAGAGAGAAACCGAATTTGAAATAAGAACCTTGTCTTCTTCTTCTTCTTTTACGCTATAAATAACAAAACTTGTTGTTGTTGTTGTCCTTCAAAAACAACAACAACAACAACAAAATTTTTTTCTTATATCTTCTGTCATGTTGATGATCATCAGGATGATGATTGTTAATAACATGTGACCTGTGATGATAATTCCATAAGAAGAATTAAAGAAAATGATAGCAAGACAAATTATTATTAGCAGTAGTTTTTATTGACTTGAACCTTATTACACACACACACACACACCATTATCTAATGCTAATTTATTATTGTTCCAGAAGAAGAAGAAAAAAATGTTTTTCTTTGGTCTTTTGTTTCTGCTTTGTTTCTGTTTCTGTTGAATTGATTCAATTGAAAATGAATTAAAATGAATTTTTTTTCGGGGCCATTGAAAAACAATGTTTTTCTTTTCTTTCTTTGGGACTAATCATTATTTACTGTGTCTCGATTTGGTAAGTCTATGGGAAAATTAGAGAAAAATGATATCACTTTGGAGCAAAAGACCTAGTAATTATTTGGATAATAATGATGATGATTATCATAAATGATTATTGATTGGTGATATGATCATGAGTGGCCATATTTCGTAATTTCATATTTTGGTCATTTTTGGTCATTTTTTTTCAAAAAATCGATGATATTCATCTAGGAATTTCGATCATTTTTGTCCCTCTCTCTCTCTCACACCCGAAAACGTTTTTTGTTGTTGTTGTTGTTGTTGTTGTTTGAAACATTACGACAACAACAACAACAACAACAACAGCAGCCAGAAAAATCATAGATCATCAATCCTGAAAATACAGTATAGATTATAATCATTATGATGATGATCATCATCATTCAACATCATTAGTGTCCCAACAACAACAACAACAACAACAGCAAAAATTTTTTCCTGTCCACTTTTTTTTCCACCATTGATTCTATCTATCAATGTGTTTGAATCAAGGGGATCTGTTAAATCTGTATTGTCAGATAGGAGAAAAAATAAAAAAAACGGTTATTATTATGATGAAAATCATGATTATCATCATCAAGATGATGGTTGTCCTTGTCATTTTTCGTTTCGTTTCGTTTTTTTTGTTTTGTTTAGGGGCCTAGGAAAAAATGAACATAAATATATTTCATTTGTCATTTGTCGAATCCCCTCTCTCTCTCTCTCGATCGGTAAACAATCATTAATCTTCTTCATTTGAACTAAAACTTACTTTGAAATAATAATGATTATTCATTCTCACTCACTCACTCACTCACTCACTGTAGTTTTTTCCAATCTATCGATATTTGAATCATTTTTTTCTACATTTATAATTTCTATAGTTCATATAAAAATGTGTCATTCATCAAAAGTCAGTATTTTGGGCCCAAATATCAGCCAATTTGCTTTTTTTATTTATTCATTCATTCATTCATTCATAGTTTCTGTTTTTCATTTCATATTGGATTCTATTGTTTTCTAGGTATTTTTCCATTGATTTTTTGTTCATTTATTTTAAAAGTCAAACAAAACAAAATAGGAAAAAATAATAATAATTCAAGCCTATTTAAACTTGTCCAAATGTTTATCATCATCATCATCGATTGGGGGACAGAGAAAAAAAATATTTCAAGGTTTTTCCTCTCTGGTTTTATAATTTACTGGTTAAATATGAGTGCCCATCAATTTTTTGTTCCCCTGATTTGAATTTTCATAATCAACAAAAAACGGTCGATCCAAAATGGGGAAGAAAAATCACAAAGTTTTTCTTTGTTACTCTTTTTTTTATCTGGTTGAAGGACACATCAATATGATTAATAACTCTCGTTCTATTCAAATTCTTTGGCTATGATTAGCTTGAAGCATTATTAATTTGGGATATATATCAAAAATCAGCCATCCAATTTCATATATGGCACTCCAGTATTGAGTAAATGGAACAAAAAAGATGATGATTCAATTCTCATTATTATTTTTGGTGACGTGTCAGTTTCATTGGAA